ACGAACTCTTCGAACGGAAAGCTCTTAATGAAATGGTGGGTAGTTGAGGATGTGATGTATAACTGTGAGGTAAAAAAAACCTTTAGAGTTTAGTAAATGATGACTAGTAGTGTTGAAAGTGCACAAAGAAAAGTGACTTCTTTTCCACCCTCTTCCCCTTCTGCATAAATTATCAAGTGAACATTGCAGCAGCACTTCACTAGTGATATTTTCTGTTCATTTCATCGCTCCGGTGAGAACTGTGGAAAATTGGCATCTTGAAAAGAAGTGCTGCACTTTTCGCAGCTGTTCACGGAGTACAGTGGGGGCTAAACAGTGGTGGATTTGTGGAGGTTGGTTCTTGCTGGGATCTCATCTTGATTTGAACTTTCTGGGAAATGCGACGATAAACGAATTGAGTGGGTAAACTACAACTAGAGCTCCGAACCAATTTTTAGGTCTTGAAAACGACGATTTGTTCGAAACGTCGACCAATAAAGATTCCACCATAACAAACCTGGAAGGCAAAACAGAAGCAAGACACAATCGGAATGCCCAGGTTTCAAGAAGACCGGACATGGACCATTGCGGAAAACGTTCCCAAATCTGAATATAGGTCTCCTACAGCCCCCCCCCCCATCACGGCTCCGTTCCCAGCTCTACAGTCTCTTCACTAGTTCACTGTTGGCATGAAGCCGTGAAAGGTACGAATGAAGGAGACAACTTTGCATTGTACCGTCTGAACTCGACACAAGCCGGACTAAAATCGCAGGTATATTCATCAATATGCCTGTTTGGCCGCTCATCGGTGGGGTCACTCATAGTTAGTCGCCTCTCACGAATATTTTGCTATGCTGTAATACTCACCATGTTCATTACGTTGGAGGAATTTGGTCAAGAAGGTGAAAAGTTGGTCTCGAGCTGGCCCAAATGCATTTTTTAGCTGGGCGTCCTAGAACACAAAAATATTTATAAAAAATTAGATGCGCTTGGGGCAAATGACACTAAAATAGGCACAATTGAAAATAAAGTAAAGGTGGCAAGAGGTGCAGCAAAGGATCAAAAAAAAAAACAAGGGAAGCGTCATATGCTCTGCAGCTTGGAACTCCTTTTCGTCTTTCGCGCTGGACGAGATTCTATGACAGCTGACGTCATCAGCCTGAACGCTGTCCTCTGTCCTTCTGGATCCTCTCGCCATTACCCCATCAGCAGCAACCGACCATCCGTCATCTTTAGGCCTCCTACGATGGTCGCACTCACTACGAGTGAATAAGCCGCTACTTGTGGGTCTCTACATGTGACAGATTGCCTTAAAGGACGAATTTCAGATATAACCAGGTCTCTAGGCAATTGAGCGTGGAGTATTGCATGGATGCCTCGCCAATGAAGAAAAAAGTTACAGGAACGACCGAAAACGGTGACATAACGCGCGACACATTTCGTACCCGTTGTATGGTTGACCCCTACCGCTGTTGATGCGGCTCTCATCCGGTGCTGCCTCTTCAACCTGCTGCGCTAATGGCTAGAGGTTAAGACGTATTGCACCAACAGCGTCGCGAGCACGGCGGTGCTAGGTCGCCGGGGATATGTCCTCCGCTGCAAAGTGCGTGACAGTTCGCACCCGTAAGGGTTCTGCCTATCTTTCCCCTAGCTAGGTTTCCCACTTCTAGAAGACGAGCAATACTCCTCCTCCCTTCGGGACTCCGCCACGACTGCCATCAGCTCCTTTCCTCCTCAATCATTTACTAGCACCGCAATGTGTGGAGGATAGAGCGGGAGCGTTAAAGCTTGATGGACGTTAAGCATCGCATGTTACAGGGAGCATATTTCAGTGATGATGAGAGCGGAAACCAAACAGGACAGAGCTCAACCCTGCGTTGCGCAGTTCGCAACGGCACGTTGAGAGATCCTCAACGCACGCTGTATGGGCGGAGACACAGACGGCTCGAGCATGCGAGTGTGAATGTTCGCGCGAGAGAACGTGTCTAATCGGGCGAAACTGCGCAACGTGGCCGTTGAAAACTGCGCAACGCGGGGTTGACTCCTGACCCAACAGAGTGAATCAGTTGTCCCTCTTCGCAGCATTTTAGTCGCTTTCCAAGTTTTTCTTACTTATCAACTCTACTTTCTAGCGTTGGTGACTGAATTTTTTTTTGCCATCCATATACAAATGGTTGGTGGCATACCAAGTCACCCTTTTCGAATCCCAGTAGCACAGCAAAGAAGGGCCAAGCTGCTGAGTCGAAATCCTTGTACTGATCAGCGATTGATCAATCAACAAGTGCTTCGTCGAAAGGAGTCTTGCCAGCATGACCTTAAAATAATCTCTTTTACATACTTGTGTGCATGGAAACATTACAGAATTTCAACAGCCATGGTCTTGTTCCCTGTTTAAAGGCTTGAGTGATAAAGGGTATAGACGAAAAAGAGCGTATGGGTATCGACTTAATCAGCCCCGCCCTCTGAGCATTTTGAGCGACTCGACTTATTCGCCTGCTAACCTAAACAATACTGTCGTGACCAGGTGCCGACTGTGATGCGCATCGGGGTTCCCGCACCTGGACCACGCCAGAACGTGGGAGTTGTCGGTGCCCACACACCCTCGCGGGGTACACCTGCCGCGCTGAATGCTCTGCGGTGCCTTGCCACGGGCTAAGTAAGACCTTACCCCAAAGGAACTAGGAACTATATGTAGCTACGCTGCATATGACTATGAGATAATAAGTGAGGTTGAACCTATTATGGTTTATACATGACTACACAAAGTATTATGACCATTTTATGACTGTAAACACGGCGACAGTATATGACTACAATGAGGAGCAAAGCACAATGCATAGAAGACATACATTTAAGCATACCTGGGATAGAGAAGCATGGGACAAAAGGAGCAAACCATGATCGACGTGTTGCGTGCGGATAGCCCAGGGTAGGGTCAGGACGACTGCGCTGGTCCACCGACTTGTGCCGGGCAGATGGCTTCTCCGGCGTGACGAGACGAAGATGGACCAACTGCGCTTGACTGGTCCAGCCGACTGACTTCGATGACGAACCGGCGACTTGACGACAAGCACTGACGACACTGACTTGACTGACCGACTGCGCGCGTAACTGGCCTTTCCCGCGCTTCCAGTGCACTCCACCATTCGCGGTAAGGACCGCATGCGACTTCGCTTCATCCCGGCGCATATCGTGAACCTCAGGTCGTACGCAAGTCACGACAAATACATATGAATCTTTCTCCTTCCTTCTGACCACCTAATCGCATTCGCGCATTTCGTCGTCCGAGTCCGTTTAAAGGATGTGAAGGCAGCAAAGCGAAAGAGAGACAGCATGAATATCCTCAATTTTTCGATCGACTACCCGCAAACGGAAATGGCAGAAAAGCGAACAGGAGAGAGAAGTAGTTCCATGGTAGAAGACTATGCACACGTGAGACCATACATGACCAGGAATTTTCGACTGGTGTCAGACTTTGCGAATCGCTGATAGCGAATCGCCGATTCGCAAAGTCTGACACCGGCCTGGATCTGAAGCTTTGGACCCGATTTCGAAGGCCGTTGCTTACGTACAGCTTGGGGTGCCACCCCTTACTGCAGTTTGTGCATGATGGGCTTCAGAGGAGTACTTCATTCGAAGGGACCTGTATGTAGACAACGATAGCAAGACTTACCAAATTGCCTAGGCCACATAGCGAGCAATGGCATGTGACTGAGCCAGCTGCTTTCCGTCCACTTCCAAGACTGGTTATCTGGCCAAATGGCATTTCTAAAAGTCATTAGGTAATTCATTTCATGATTAGATATCAAGATATCTTTATTCTTTGGCGCATTTATTCATTTCGCTTCTTGGAACCAAAGGCCCACTTGCTGCTGGGACGCGCGCTGTGAATTTCGTGAAATTTGCGTTACAGCGCCTCTTATCTTATTCGGCCTTATCATTCTGTCCCACCGAACATGTTCCCGTCCTTTCCTGTACATCACTTCTTGGAACCAACGTCCCACCACTGCTGGGACACGCGCTATGAATATCATGAAGTTGGCGTTTTGGCGCCTCTTATCAGATCCTATCAGTCGGTATCACTTTATAAACCCACCAAATATGTTGCCGTCTCATCCCCTACACCATACTCTAAATTCACCGTTCCATGCCTGCAGCGAAGCGCGCTATGAATTTCGTGACAGACGGACGTACGTACAGATGGACACACACACAGACAGACATACTTAGCGAATTGTTTATAGTAGGATAAGCAAGCACTGATGGCTCAGCTGTAAGAGACTTTTAACAGTGCTGCGGGAAACAGCGTGAGAATCGACAGGAATAAATCTAAAAGACTTCTCGTGCCCGTAGGTCGGGGCCTGCCGCAGCACTATCTCCTTCATACTAACGTTCATAGATATGCTCTACAGGAAGGCTTATTTGACATCAGGGTCCAAAGCACATATAGTGGTTTATGTCTCGTTACAAAAGGCCACATCGACTTGGTATGCTTTCCTTGTTAGACAACATCAAAACAGCACTTATCAGAACAAAAGACTTCGGTATATCGAATTGAAAAGTACATATATCACTTCTACGATTTGTGTTTGGCCAGTTTCGTCGACTGATGCGTACGTTCGTCGATTATTAGGTCCAGCAAGAAAACAGCTGAAAAGTCCCTTATTTCTGCTACATCCAGTCAATATGAACTATTTTAAAACCTGGGTGACCGGAAACACGTGAATTCTGCACCGCAATAATTTCTGCTAGTTTGAGCTCAGTGTAGCTGAGTATGAACAAGTTATATTTTAATTACCTTTGGTGAAACTTGGCAAGTCACGAAACGTTCATTCATCCCTTACCCTCTATTTCGGAAAATGAGAAGAGCGTCGAGTGCAGACCATACGTCACAAGTGACGACGGCCATAAAAAATAAAAGAAAGGGTTTTTCTCGCTGATGGTCGTCACGTGGAGTGTGTGATCTTGCACTCGATGCTTTTCCGTATCCGAAAGATGATATACCTACGTTATATCATTTCTGTTGTTCATCAGTTTCATTGCATAATCGAAGCCAGGGACGGTAGTAAACTAGGGACTTGCACGTTAACGGGCTTCTCAAAGGCGTTTGTAACGTGCAGGTGCAAGTTTCCCCGATTACATTGTATATGCGTCGCTTCCCAGTGAGCTGCACGTCCCAGGCCTCGTAACGCGCAGCTGTGAAACGCGGAAGGCAGGCTCGCCGACAGATAACGGGAACGCGCAGGGGCGAAATAGTGTGTGTTTGGAGAGACGCAGGTGACGAAAGTAACGCGCAGGCAAAAAGTCCTCCGGAGGACTTTTTGGGTTGGCGAACTTCAAACTTGGATGATGGGTAAAGTCGATTGCGAAATAGTGTGGACGAGGGGAAGCAATTAAGGGAGAGAGCACAGTTTTGGAGAGGTTGGAGACGGCGAGAGGGTGTGGCTGAGTCTGCCAGGCGCGTAACTCACACCGATACGGGGATCCAGGCAGCTACGCAGTCTTAGGCGGCGTCGCAGGCGAGTGTCATTTGCGCGGCTTTCATTTTAGGGCGTGAAACTTAGGACCCGTATAGTTATTTTTTTTAATTTGTATGTCTTTCTGAATAGGTGGCGTTAGCGTTTGGCTAGACTGTCTTTTCGTCGTGAATTCCGCTTTGAATGTTTGTTGACTGTGCTGTCGGTGAAGCTCGGGTTCGGGGGGGGGGGGCACGCGATGGCGCGGCGCTCTGTTCGTCTGCTCCTCCAAGGCTTAGTCACAGGGGCAGTTACTCTTTCGTCATTACGTGGCAGTTTCAAAATACGCGCCATCGAGGACTAAGCCTTGGAAGTCGCGTGCTCCCCCTCCCCCCCGAACCCGAGCTCCACCAATTCTCGTATTACATCTCAACGATGTCACATAGTTATAATAAATTTAGCTATCTAATGAAGAAATGTTTCATTTTAGATGCATGGCAGACGCTTGCCAACATGACGACACCCTTGCCGTTGGAAAACAAGAGCGAGTGCATTCTTGAGGTAGATTTGTTTAAGAGTTCAAAGCCTTTCTAAGTTCACTTTCATTTCCCTTTCTAATTTTGCCCCTCCCACTCTTCATGCCAGGCGCAATACTATCTCTTTGCTTGGTTAGAGTTAGGCAGTGGCACGAGTTTAAGAAAGTCCATCATAGGTCTGAGTAATTTTGAAGGCTGTCACTTCACAATTATGTCGAATCATGAAAAGTCGTTCGCTGTTTCACTGACATCTTTTGGATTGGATTTTGGATTTTTTGGAATAAGATATACCTCGCCGCTAAAAGTACACCGGAAAAAGCTCAGGACGAGTTTACCGGACGAGTTTCTGTTTTCTGCTTTATCTGCACCTCTTTCAGTGTGGCACATAT